GGATGTGCTCGCTGTAAAGATTCTGTTACGTCCTGCCACCGCGGACTCTACAGGGGCCAAAGATGGCCCAGCGACACTCCAAGATGGTCCACGTCCCAAGACAGTCTCCGGAGACGCTCCAGACAAGAAAGGCCCCAGCACAGTCCAACATGGTGTTCGGATGGGCCCAACGTGTGCCCAATTGCGCCCCAAGCAGCTCTAGAGACCTTAAGCAAGAGGTTCCCGGCCATGATTCTTGAGATGGCTGATAGTCACAAAGCGCCCTCATAAGCTTCGAAGACTGGCCAGGCCCCAGACGGCCGAGGAGCGCCCCAAGAAGCTGCAACGGACTGGTCGTAGAAATTGCGCACACTCGCATCTGCAGGGGAGTTTCACTCATGCGGTGCCCGAAATAGTATCTGGCCACAAGGGGGTCCCTGCGTCGCCAGGGCAGGGCTGGGCTTCAAGGGAGTGTCAGGCAAGGCTCGATTATGAGTGAACTTCGGCCAGGGGTCCAAACAACGAGCTTCGATTCGTCAGACGCTCCTGAGACCCGGCTGACTTCCCGAGGGCGCCACAAACCATCAAATCGTCAAGATATGTCGAGAGAGCTCGCCAGAAGGAGCACGCTCATTCGTCTGTGCTCGGTCGCACGGCCCGCAGCGTGCCCCATTTGAAGCCTCGCGTCCGCTGGGCAGGCGCAGTGGCTGGAGCTCTGGGACCACCTCATCGCGCACCAGGGCGAGGACCGTGATTTCATGAACGGAAGAGGGGGACGGGCGCTGGGCTTACCGGGGGAGCGCTATGCTTTTCGTCAGAGTATCCTGGGTTTCTTCGCTCCTCGCGCTGCGCGGTGGCTTCCCGCAGCCGTTGAAGGAGCTATTGGGTTCAGGGTGCTCCGGGTTTCCTCTCAGGTGTACCTCGCGCACGGGTTCTCAGGGTTGGGTTTCTTGCGAGGGTTTCTTGCGGCCGCGCCCGCACTGTATGATGTTCCAACCTACTCTAGCTTTGATCACCAGAAAGCATCTCGAGCACCAGGAAAGTACCGAAACCAGAGGGTTTTCACGTGTCGGGCCTTGGGAGGCGATACTCGTTCGACACTGTTTCGATACGTGTCTGGGTGCTCGAAATTTCCTTCTGGGATGTAGTCCTTAAGTACAATGGGAGCATCATAACGCTGGGATGAGGACGGGGAAGAAGGGAACGGGGAGGAGGACGGCGGGCTGTGGGGGAAGCCTGGATGGCCAAGCATCTCGAAAGGTGCACGCCGTGAGGAGGGCGGTGAGCCGCGAAAGGTACACACGTCGAAAGGCACTCCCCGGAAGGTACACACTCCAGTAATTACGGCTTCACGTCCAGAGCAAGGGCGGTGAGCCGATGGCGCGGAGGCCAGTGTCTCCACTATACGTAAACTTTAGGGTTGAGCATCTTCTCGGGAGGGATACCTCGAGGTCTCCTGCTTCATCCGCTTCCTCATCACTCCTACGCCTCCTGCTCCTCCTGCTGCTCCTCGTCCTCCCCTCAACCTCATCCTCCCCCCTTACCTCCTCCTCCTCCTCCTCCTCCTCCTCCTCCTCTTCCTCCTCCTCCTCCTGAAGGGGGCCGAGGGGGAATCGGAGGCGCGGCACCGGCCGCGCTCGCGCGATAGCTCAACTCGTGTGGGGCCGACCTCGCACGAGGCGGAACTCGCACGACCGTGGAGGCGGCTGTGCCGGCAGGCGGAGGACCACCCGAGGGCAGAACGGCCAGCTCCCTCCCAAAGCACCCCTGGCCCCCAGCCGGGACCCTTTGGATCACCAGGTCGGGAGGGGGGGTGTCCTGAGGCGGCGGGGCTCCTCAGGAGCCCTCGCGCCTTCTGAGAAGCTGTCCGTGCCTTCGGAGAAGGCTCGGAAAGTTTCTCGGAAGGCTGGAGGCCTTCTGAGCTTTCGCCGAAGCCCCGCCCCCGCTGGCTTCCTGGAACCCCAGGGCTGGCCGCCAACCGAAGGACCCTGCCGCGCGCGATGACTAACCGTGCGAGTTTTGTGCGTGCGAGTTCGGCCAGTCGCGTGTGAGCACGGCCGTGCGACCTCGGAGCGTGCGAGTTCGGCCGCGCGCGAGTTCGGCCGCGCGCGAGTTCGGCCGCATGCGAGTTCGTCCGGTGCGGGTTCGGCGGGGGCAGCCGAACTCTGACGCAAAAGGCCCAGCAGCCGAAACCGCACACAGGGGCGCGGCGGCGCAATGCCGAATCCACCGGCGCACCTTCAGCCTTTAGCCCTTACCCTAAATATATTCTGGCTAAGGCCTTATGGCCAGTGCCGCCGACCCTGGACGACGACCCCCACGATGGAAGAGGCATTCGGGAAGGTCCGGATCAGACGCCCCATTGAGTGCCCAAGAGGCTGCACGAGGCCCCCAAGAGGTGCCCAAGAGCCCCCACATAGTTTTCGGGATGTCTGGGGAGCCTTTTTGGGAGCCTCCTGGGGGTTCCTGGCGGTTCCTTGGGGGCGCCTGGGGGCCTCGTGGGGGTCTCTGCGGGATCTCT